ATCAGGTCACAAAGAGTTAAAAACATTCAAAAGAAACACAGCCACACATGGAACTACCGGGGCAAAACTAAATATAAACTTTAAACAACATAGTGCAAAATGGTCACAGATATGTATCAGAGGCACTATCCTACAATATTATAATCAAAGGTCTTATAGTTCAAAAACTGTGACGCCACATATGTGGGAAAGAATAAGTTCAATTAGCAGAATTAGTGGGAGCCTCTGCATGCATGTATTCCCATTTTTGTGGGGACAAGAAAAGGGCACTTGTCTTAAATTAATGTTTTATTGCTATATGTGACTTTTTTTGTCCTGGATTTACCTGCACCCCCATTTTTTTTTCATAGGTATTAGAGGGACAGGAAGTTAGGGGAAATATATCTAACAGGATCACAGACAAAAATAATAATCTTAATAAAATTGTAATCCTTACACACTATTCAAAAACAAAAAAAATTATTTGGCTGGGGTGATCTTTCAATATTTCTCCCAAAACAATTTTGCAAAACCCATATAGCCAATATTACAAGGCAATGTAAAATCAAACAACCACAGCAACCAGTCAGATTTCAGATCAGTAAATATAAATTTGGATTGGTTACTATAATTTAGGGTTCTTATATGCATAACAATTCTTGGACAAATTAGGCCATTTTAGACTAACCATGAGGTTATGTGATGCACCCACCTTTGATATGAATTGACCATTATGGAAGATGTGACTATACAAGAGTGTACGTCTGTGGTTTCCACATGGTAACTTCAGTTACCCACAGCAAAGCTGTTTTAATAATAGTGGCAGGCCCACAGGGGCGGGGTGGCATTAAGATGCCGGCAAGTAATTAAATCTGGATCCTGAGGTTGTAAGTTGCTACAGAAAGCCATGGGACCTCTTGTTTTAGAGAGGGCAATTCACTCTTCTAGATTATGTGAATTTAAATACCTTTAGTCAAATTAATGTTGAAATCCTGGCAAACAGGTGCATTCACAGATGAAATGCATATATAGCAGCTGCTTTAGGGTTGCATTTCTGTCCATCTAGTTCTAAAATTTGCACAGCTTAGCCACGTGGCATAGCTCTGTCTGGAAGGGCAGGAGACCTGATTTTTCTCTGCTGCAGGTAAATAACACCTATAGGTCTTGTCTCTTTCACAGTCAGGGACTAGACAAGGAAAGATGAAGCAGCAAACTAATGACTACATATCTCTGTTTCCTCCTAGCAGCATGTCCCTTGTTAGCACATTAGCACCACAGCACAACTGATTGGCTCTGTACACTGATTACCCCTCTCCCAAATATGAGCTTTGCTGTACAGGGATTGCAGGAGGCCAATAACAAGTCGAATTCAGGTACTTTGACTGCTTACATTGACAAAAATACAGTCATTAAATAATGAATACTTCTGATAAAAAACAATTAAGATAAAACGTAACCTGTTACCTGAAAAACATGCGTCAGATCCCTGAGGTTAAACATATAATGGAATCTTATAGCAGTTGGCAGGAAATTCTGGATCATTTTTTGATGGAGACAAATAGCAGCTTGTATCAGCATAGGTAAGGACCTCACCACACTGTAACTGAAGCCGCCATGCTGGAAATGGGCACTTATGATCCTGCTGTAGATGGTGGTTAAAGCTTCCGATCCAGGAAAGTGCACAGCAAACACAGAGAAGTGCCTCTGAAAAGTAAAGCACAAGTTGGACCTATTAACACTGCTTTAAATGAAAGAAGAACACCATCACAAAGGCACTTTAAAGGAAAACAGTCACCAGTGGGTATTTGTAATAATCTGAACCTCCTTTATTTGTTATTGCAGTACAACCCTATCTCTCAGGAATTGTTGTTTATGGAGTATTTTCTTCCTCTCTTTGCAGAAGTGTCTCTTAGTGTTGGACTGACAAGCTGTTTATCTCCTGCCTTAGTAGAGTACTGATAACGGACACACATAAAACTGTCAAATAACAAAGGCTCTCTGAAGAATATATGAATGCAAACTGAAGGCTTTGGTAACTGGCAGGTTTATCCGTCTTCAGCAACCCAGACATAGTTTGTCCTCAGCACTGGGCTGAGACAAGAGAGAAGACAGCCTTTATGAAGGCCTAAGTGACAATCAAAGGGGCCATTTATAATAGAGTGTGCATATAATTATTGGCTCTATGTTAAACACTGCAGTATTATTCCACACCATGGTCTGCATTTTAAGGCCCATTGATAAAATGCACACCATACAGGAGAGCCTGCATCAGTGTTATGGAGTTCTCCCTCTGCTTAATTCAGCACTGGGAACTCCATGATTTTGACTTTGACAAGTCATGTGACTTTGCTATCCTCCCAATTTTAATTTTTTAATTCCATTTATTGGTACTCAAATAACAGAAATAAACAAGATGTATCATGAACAAAATTCAACAATCTGGGACAGCAAGCAAAATTAGGATGCAAAGCAATTCGATGAGATGTTCACTATGGCACGTAAGTAAAACAGGGGGGAAAAAACCTATCCACACACATAAAAGAAGTCAGGATACATGAATTGTCTCAAGTCTTAAACGCAGCCCTACACCCCTGAGAGGACATAGGGGGGCCGCACCAAACATATATTACTAAACATGTAATGTCAACCTTCAGGAACAATCTAGCGGGGAGAAGGAGGCCCTACACTCGTGTGATATCTCTCTGGGCAGGTAAGAGTGAATACAAGAAAGACAGCAAGAGAAAGGAAGATCGGAATGAAAGGAAGAAGAAAAGACAGGGAGAAAGGAAATGATCACGATAACATCTCCCCACTTTTTTTACTTTTTTGGGGGATCCCAAAGCAAGCAGAGTGCAACATAAATTAGTACCTGCTTCAAAGTAGATGTGAACGCCTCATCTACAGCCGCCTAAGTCGCCACCTCGCTGATCACAACCTTCTTGACCCCTTACAATCTGGCTTTCGCGCCCAACATTCCTTTATGGATGTTTTCAATATAACTGATTTGTTTAGCCAGTTAAAACCCACGACACACATACAATACACTCGAGTACCACCGGGTTGAGTTCTGCATCTCCTTACCATCTTGTCTTGAATTGTATTGTGATTGTAATGTCTGCCCTGTATTGTAAAGCACTGCGCAAACTGTTGGCGCTATATAAATCCTGTATAATAATAATAATAATGCAAGCGAATCGCTATACACATTTGTAAAGCACACCTCTGTAATTTATTAAATGTTCCTTTTTAATAGCAGTGGTATTGCTGTGGTAAGACCATAGCATTGCTTTATGGAGTTTAACAATGCATTGTTACACCAATTTAAGAGTGGAATTGAGGATTAATACAAATACCCATTTATGACTGGTTCTCTTTAAAGTCAAATGTGTAACATGCCACAGAGTATGGGAATCCTTTTAGTTCTGGGTGGCAGACTTAGTTTGCTCTGCTATATTCCTCCACTAGGTAGAATCTGTCTTTTTATCTCAATCCTACTCTAGTTTGTAAATAACAAGTGACCCCAGATGGGTGTTTTCCTTCATGGTCTCACTTTCCAACCCTTCTATGTCATGCACAGTAAAATCTGCAAAATGCAGCAAGCTAACAAATTACTTTTAATATAGCACTGGATTTGCATGGCTGATCTAGGACTACTAATAATGGTAGATGTAGTTTAGCAACTGCTAAGAGTCAAATGTTCCAGATTCCTGACACAAATTAATCTTCCTAGAAAGTGCCTGCTGTAATGTGTAGAGAAAACTACTGGTGCTATAAAAATGCAATTTATTATAGAAACATGAACTGACCTTTTTTCCTCAGTCACTATGGTTACTATAGATCACATACGTGACAGGTCAAGTCATGCATCAAATGTAACACCTTGTACAGTAAAGACAAGTGACACACTGAATGATAGATTACCTGCAGACGAGGATTAATGGAAAAACTTCCAGCGGTGGGATTCATGCACGTTATGTATTGGCAGTTGTGTATTTCTTTAGCTACCAATTTCTGTCTGTCATACCTACAGTAATCATATAAACACAAATACTGACTCATGTGGCGTCAAGTTCAATGATCCTATCTTATTTACAGCTCTATTATTATCCGCAAACAGGCAGCTCATGAGATCCTATCGCACACTTTTGTATGACTTAGAACTTGTATGAATAACTTTTTTATCTATTCTTGTTAAACTGCAGTCTACTGAGTGTACTGAAATTCTCCAACCCCAAATGTCAGGGGTTGAAGAATTTGAAGCTAAAACAATAAGTGGAGAACCATGGAGAGCCTGCACAGTCAACCTTGTTCTTGCCACTTTGACTGCAGACTTCTTGAATACATTTGAATAACCCCTGTACATACCAGATCCTCTGGTAGACTTTTACTAAGCGACCACCTAAAACACATTTGACACATAAAATACTGAAAAATCTATCCTATAATCACAATACATATGGATTCACAAATGAAGGTTTTTACTTATTTTAGAAAATGTCTATTGTGGATCACATCTGTGCTTTTTTGTCCCTCTGATGGGTCTTCATGTATTGAATTACTGGTACGCCTTGTATAACCCATCCTGACACCTTAGGGCCATAAAGGCACTGATACTCCAAGTGTCTGTATAGTTAATGATTACTACGTGTGTAGTGAAAAGGAGGCCAGTCAGGGTAAGTATGGTGTACTTGGATGGGAAGGGATGTGTGATGAAATTGAGTGGCTATTCATGGAAAAGTAGTGCATCTCCAACTCAAAGGGGCTTTTTGATGCTGTCATTATACTGTATATATTGCCAAAATCTTATGGCCAGATTTAGACCTTGTACTGCATCTGATATTGTGCTACAATACCACACACACGTTCATAACCAACACATATGTCACAGGTTAATGTACATTGCAGTACAGCAGCACTTTTATTTTGAATGGGCTGCCAATGCACTAAGGCAAATCCTTTTTTGTTTTTTTAGCACATCACAGCATACAATTGTTTCACTCTGTGCATTGCGGTGCACTAAAATGTAGGTCTGTTGGGTGAGTTAGAATGTGTGTTAGGTTGTCAGTCAAACAAAATGCCACCACACAGTGTTTTTCACATTACCGCAACGTGATTCCTGAGGTCAGGTTTGGTGGCTTAATCACCAAGTGTATGGACAAACCATAACCACAAATAAAAACCATATGACCTTGGCACAAGCTGTAGGATTTTACAGGAGTCTTTGACAAATCTTTATATGACAGGCTCAATTTACAACACTAACACAATAGAATAAAATGTTTTACATTTGAAAATTGACAGCTTTGAGTAAAATGAAAAATGGGTCACATGGCTGGAAATAAATCTCTCTATCTTAATGGTAAAGCGGACCTTTACACTCAAAAATCCCTCTATGTATGATGATTAATAATAACATAGACATGTCAGGTGTAAAATGCTGTGATTGTGAAATACTTACACTTGCAGAGCATTCACTTCTTGCTTTGAAAGGGAAAAATGACTTCAGTTTGGCAAAGCAATGCACACTGGGATCACCTTGTCATCAGCAGAGCATTGCTGGGAAATCTCATCTGTAATCTCAGGAGATCTCAGGGAAAGGCATTTTCCTACCCTGAGATGATGTGCACGGTCACATGTCCTAGTCACATGTGCCAGAAATCCAGGAAGTAAAAGGAGAGCTAGTAATCTGCCATTAGTAAACATGGCCACTGTCTGAAGATTGGGTAAGAAAAGAGAAACAAGGTATGCAAAGAATACAAAGCCGGCAATTATCTAGATCCATGTGTTTGTAGATTGTCATTACGAAACATTTCTAAAGGTGTGTTTTTTATTTTAAAGATATGGGTAAGATATGGGTAAAGGTCCGCTTTAAAGGAGAACTATGAGGTGAGTGATTTCCACTTATCTTTATAGTTAGAGCCGACGTGTGACAATGAAACTGCTTGCTAACTTCCCGTTCATCTCCCTGTAAAGAGCGGGGACTGTCATGTCCCGGCTTCCCACAGGGATTCCCCCCTCCCCTCTCCGATCCACCAGCGCTGGAGGAACAGGCGAGGGAGGGGCTCTATCTCTAGATAGGCAGAGCCAGCTGTCAATCAGCCAGCCGGGTGGATCTCGACAGCATTGTCGGGATCCGTCCAGGCTCCGGCACTCTCGGTATATAGCCGGCAATAGCCCGCTATTTACTGAGCTTGTCCTTCCTTCTGTCCTTCCGTGACCCTAAAGAGAACTATGGGATAAAAAGGTTACCCCATAGTTCTCTTTTAAAGCTTTGTGAGTTGAGTTTCATGTACGCTCATAACAAAATCGAAAACTGATGATGTACTGTATGTGATGAAATATGTCACATCAGAACAAAATGAAAGAATGATACATCTACATCAGCAAATACTCACCAATGGCTATAATCTAGATGTTGCCTAATTAAAGTGTGGGGCTGCACTGTACTGTAAGCATCTACTTCTGGCATATTGAGATCATCAATAAAATAAATGAGTTTTTTGGTTCCAGGTGGGGAATAGTTTCGTCCAGCTCTTTTTTCCAGGGGCTTCTCCAGAACACCTTTTTTTTATAAGGAAGAGAACAATGTCAACCAATGCTTGCAGCATTCCTGTGAATGAATAACTTCAAGTGTTAACACCATAACGGGGTTTATTTATCAATGTTTTTACCCAACTTTTACCCAAGAATCATCCATTTTTCTAATAGAACCTTTTGTGAAAGTGAATGGATCTTGGGTAAAAGGTGTCCAAACAAATCTTGGATGAAAGCTTTTCATAAAAAAAAACCCACAATCTGTCTGATACAGTTTATATGATCATCTGTTTAGCAGGGGCCTAGTGTCACATAACACTATTTTACTAAGCTGATGTAAATGTACAGTATGTATATGACCCTCTGCTGAATTAGGCCTAATGCATGAAACTGTAATATTACATACAGCATACTTCCCGTTGTGTCTACAGGATGGAAAATGAAGAAAAATCTCTACCAATGTTGCTTTTTTTCTAAATGTAAGTGAACAGTTAAAGCCCGCCAGGCTCCAAGTTTGATGGTGTATCCCAATAAAGATAGCTATCTTAGACAGGTAGCTGTCTCTCTTTGTAACCCAAACTCAAGTTGGGGAATAAGTGGGACTACAACTGGGCAGCTGTTTTTTTAGCTACAGGAACTCTGGGGGGATGACTCTTTGGATTGTCTTGCTTACAGCAATGTGTGAAATGCAATATAAGGTATGATCTCTATTATAGTGAATTATGTAAAGTAACTGCTTCATGTAAACATAATTGATTCCCTTTAGAAGGGAATAAGTTTTACACCATGTCCATTGACCAGCAAATCGACTGCAAATGCTATCTCAACACCAGGGCATATAGAAAACAATTGTTTTGTATGTGCCCTGTTCATTCCATAAATGTGTGGTTATGTGTGCAACATGTGTGCATTTGAGTGTTGCAACAGACTGTGCTACATGAAGTTAAATTAAATGGAATTTTCATTAAAATTAAAGAAAGAAAAGAAATCCTTCCTTCACAAAGCACATGCGGGCTTATGTCAATGAGCCCTTAATGCTTTTCATTAAAAAGTACCAACTTTGGATATTGTCTATATAAAAAAGATGCTTCTGTTGCCCACTGTGATCAGATCCTTCTGAAAAAACGACTTCTAAAAAGCCATTCAATTGCTATGGGAAATACTGTATCTGAAATCAAGGCTCAGTGTGAACAGTGCAGCATTCCATATTAATCAATCAGAAATCATTTTATGCCAGTTTACCTTTCAGCCAAGCTGGCCACTAATAGCACCTGCACAACATTGCTCTCTACACTTTTTCATGAAATCAAGACCATTATATTTTCACAAAGGTCACATGTCAGATATAATTTCACAATAGTGCCATCACTTACGCTGCAGCATGGCAGATGTGGTGTAGTAGTTGAATGGCACTTTGGCCACTATGTATTCTTCAGGTAATTTTGCCAATTTATCGGACACCAGGATGGTTTTTCCTACTCCTGCATTTCCAACCAGCATGATCGGTTTCCCCTTCTCCAGCAGCAAATCCAAAAAGTACCTTAAGCGGACAGTTTCAGCAGTATGTACCAAGACAGTCTAAATGTAAAAATTATAAATATGTTATGTAACTTTTTTGGCCTTATGCAAAAGAAAATGTGTATAATGAAGCAAGGGGTTTAACAAGGCAGATACTAAGAATCTCACATGCAACATTAGAAAGTTATCTAAACCCAAGAACAAAAAGTTAATATTTTGCAGATTAACCTTCCTTAGATGTGGTGGCTGCATTTGTTTTTTTCCAATTTTCTTTATTTTTCACCTGCTGATTATGCCACTTCCTGTCCTAGAGTGACAACAATCACTTACTGTTCTGTATGCAGAAAGAAGCAGTGTTGTCACTCTAGGACAGGAATACAGAACACATCCCCCCTCCTCATTTTCCCCGAAGATAACTGGGCAGGGCTGAGAACACTGCTTGAGATAGCACTGCAGCAGCGATGTTAAAATGTTAATGGATTTCTCGCCTTATCTACAGATATTTTTTGCACTTATCAAAGATATATAACAAAAGGCTTTCAATTGTATATTTAACAGAACAGGAAGGAGCAAATAAGGAAGTTTTTTTTCTTAGCGTTTACATAAGTTTTAAAGACTTTTGTGGAACCGGTTGGAAGCCTACAGCATCAGACAGCTATGGGCTCCATGTATTATCCTGTTCTTACTTAGAACTGGAGTCACTTCTCCTTAGCAACCAAACAGCATCAGTCCTGCCCTGACAGTTAAATCATGCAGGGTTATTCACAAAGAGGTGAAGAGTTTGGAGAAGGCAAGAGAAATGACCAATCTAGGACAACATAGCTGAACTGCAAAGTGAGCTGAATTGGAGAATTTTTCCTAATCAGCTATTTTGTCCTAGATTGTTCACTTCTCCTGCCTTCTCCTAACTCTTCACCCTTCTGTGAATAACCCTGATAGTTATTAATGCTAGACATTGTATTGTATTCTGTGAAAACAATGCAAGATGTTCTGTGAATGGAGGGGAGATCCTGGCATTCATACTCCCCTCCTGTCTATCCACAGCACAGTTATTAATGCTAGACATTGTATTGTATTCTGTGAAAACAATGCAAGATGTTCTGCGAATGGATGAGGGGGTATCCTGTCATTTATCCTCCCCTCCACTCCCCCAGTCCATTCACAGAATGCCTAGTATTCTGTGAAAAGAATACACAGAGTTTTGTGAATAGATGAGGGGGGATGAAAGGGAGGGCAAATGTCAGGATCCTTTATTGTTGCAGCTAATGTCTCTCATCCCTGCAGCACCAGTTGTGTGTAGTATCGGGCATCAGTGAAGGGGGATTTGTATAGTAACCAGCAGCCAGTAGGACATACGATACTCTTCATTAGAAGTACATTATTTGAATGGTGCTGTAACCCCCCAAAAAATGTTTTTCTGGAGTTCACCTTTAAAAATGCATGTTACTTAAAAATATGACCCAGCCTTGTAGGATTTCTACATCTTATTATGTATTGAAACAACTTCAACAATAAAACAGCATCATCATCTATACAGACAGCATAATTGTGGTCTGCAAGCATGAGATTTATGCAGGGAACCCAACCATATCCAAGGCTGGAACCTGGAACTTAAGGGGTTATTATGCCATAAACATTCCTCCCAGACTATTCAATACTGCCGTGAAGACCACAAATTGTAGTTCAAATGTGTCTTCACTTTAAGTGCACTGGATCATTTACTTTAACAATGTGAGCATGTTCTCATTATCACGTTCAACTTGATTACAGCAGGGCCTAATACTTAAAAGCATTCTCGAAATGGAAAAAGGCATGAACGCATGATCAATTCCTAATAAACTGAGCGACGCACTAATGTGTGTTGAGTGATTTAGACAAGGAATATCAGATAAAAGATGTACAGTAGGTAGACAAAATGTGGCTGATAAAAATAGGAAAAGACAGAAGGGCGTGCTCGTTCAAACACTTAATTGCACGTGCCACAAGAGTGAGTTCATGACTTCTGCAAAAGAAAGAAATGCATGACTGTAAAACAATAGAAATGAGATACCATGAACATCCAAGGTCTACAAACTGATGCAAGGTGTAACTCCTGACAAACAGAAAAGTATATTGTGAAAATACTTCGGTCTTACCTGGCAAACTATTTATATACTTCTATTCAGCCAGTCTTGTGATTTCCACAACTTTGCCACACTGCACAGCTGATGATACATTTATTTGCTGGTTGAGCTTCTTATGTTTAATATCCATCTCCAGCCTGCTCAGTGGACATTGGGTTAAGCCAATAAAGGAATAGAGCCATGTGTCCACTTAGCTTAGTGAATGAGGTGAGGTTGTGTTCCCCATCCAGTGCACAGTGCCCCGGGTCCACACACCACTACTGCCCGCTTTTTCTTTTCTATGTCTCTTTGCACTCTAGCGCAGAACCAATGGGGTTGTGCTTTGAAACTCCTCAGCTCTGTGTTGCAGATGTGATAGGCAGCAGGTAGGGACAGGAATTGGGAGCTGAGTGTATCTGTCCACCCACATTCCAATTTCCACTCTAAAGTGTGATGAGAGAGCACTCTGAGCCTATAAAGAGGGTTGTGAGGGCGGCAAATTAAAAATGCCTGCTGCCGCTGTGCCTGTAAGGATTCTGGAGGGGGTTTTGTGAGCACTGTGCTCCTTGTACACTGCCTAAAAGTGTCTGTAGGGGACACCAAGCCTGAGGTTAACTAAGGAGTGTTTGGAGATCAGTGTCCCTGGTTAACAGGTAACCAGGGACGCTGATCTCTCTGCAAGTGGCCGGAGCCAGCCGTAAGATCACGACTGGCTCCACCCAGCTGTTAGAAGCAGGCTGTTGGCCGGCCAATGGCCGGCCGCTCGGCCAGCTTCGGCTTTCAGCACGGCTCAGTGAATAGCCGATTGTGAATAGCCCGTACAGCACCCCTTCGGTTCTACTGAACCGAAGGGGTCCTGGGGACGAAGCTAGCCAAAGGATCGGCCAAAGCTACGGCCAGATCCTTCGGCAGCTTCGTGAATAGACCCCTAAGTATGTGCCATGGAGGGGACCCCTCTCTCTTTCTCTCCCCCTCTCTCTCCCTCTTCCCGCTCTCTCTCTCTCTTTCTCTCCTTGATGTCTCTCTTTCTCTTCTCCTCTCTCTTTCTCTTCTCCTCTCTCTCTCATTGTCCTCCCTCTCTCTCTTTCTCCTCTACCCCTCTAAAGTGTGTGTGCGCCTGTGAGACTGTCACTTGTAGCAGACTAAGAAGAGTTTTTTGAGTATAATAACTGATGCATATGTGTACATGCTTTACTTACTACTGAGTTCTGATCTCTGTGCATTACTTACTCCTGATCCCTGCACTCTGTGTGGTAATTACATCTGACCCCTGGACTTTGTGCTTGACATACTCCTGAGCTCTGCACTCTGCATTACTTATTCCTGACCGCTACACTTTGCGTGTTACTTACTTCTGACCCCAGCATTCTGTACATTACTTGCTCCTGAACCCAGCACTCTGTACATTACTTACTCACGTTACTTACTCCTGACCCCGGCACTCTTGTGCGTTTCTTAATCCTGAGCTCTGCACTCTGTGCATTACTTGCTCCTTACCCCAGCACTCTGCATTACTTACTCCTGAACTCTGCACTTTGTGCATTACTTATTCCTGACCCCTGCACCATGTACGTTACTTACTCCTGGTCCCAGCACTCTGTAAGTAACTTACTTCTGAGCTCTGAGCTCTGCGCTCTGTACATGACTTATACTTGACCCATGTACTCTGTGCCTTACTTACTCCTGATCCCAGCACTCTGTGCATTACTTACTTCTGTGCTCTCACTCTATGGGGGTGATTTACTAACCTAAACACACACACACACCAGGTGTGTGTGATTTTCACACAGCAAAACGTATTTATCAACCAAAAAGTCTCTAAAAGCATATTTCCACTAATGCCATATATGTAAAAATCATGCACATGATGCATATATAATGCTGCTTCACAGTTTAGACAAAAATGGTTAGCTCATGCATTTACATTCCTGCATTCATCAACGCAAGCAACACAACATAGAGCTAATTTACCCAACATCACCTTGGAATTCCTTCAGGGCTTTGCACAACACACCTGCTGGGTGTGTACACATTACAAAGGTGTTTAGATTCCACCCATAGATCATGCTGGGAGGGAACACACTGCAGAGGTGTATACACGTTCGTGGTGTGTTTATAAGGTTAGTAAATCAACCCCTATATGTTACTTACTCATGACACCAGCACTCTGTGTGTTTCTTAATCCTGAGCTCTACACTCTGTGCATTACTTGCTCCTTACCCCAGCACTCTGCATTACTTACTCCTGAACTCTGCACTTTGTGCATTACTTATTCCTGACCCCTGCACCATGTACGTTACTTACTCCTGGTCCCAGCACTCTGTAAGTAACTTACTTCTGAGCTCTGCGCTCTGTACATGACTTATACTTGACCCCTGCACTCTGTGCCTTACTTACTCCTGATCCCAGCACTCTGTGCATTACTTACTCCTGTGCTCTGACTCTATGGGGTTGATTTACTGACCTTATAAACACACCACGAATGTGTATACACCTCTGCAGTGTGTTCCCTCCCAGCATGATCTATGGGTGGAATCTAAACACCTTTGTAATGTGTACACACCCAGCAGGTGTGTTGTGCAAAGCCCTGAATGAATTCCAAGGTGATGTTGGGTAAATTAGCTCTATGTTGTGTTGCTTGCGTTGATGAATGCAGGAATGTAAATGCATGAGCTAACCATTTTTGTCTAAACTGTGAAGCAGCATTATATATGCATCATGTGCATGATTTTTACATATATGGCATTAGTGGAAATATGCTTTTAGAGACTTTTTGGTTGATAAATACGTTTTGCTGTGTGAAAATCACACACACCTGGTGTGTGTGTGTGTTTAGGTTAGTAAATCACCCCCTATATGTTACTTACTCCTGACACCAGCACTTTGTGCGTTACTTAGTCCTGAGCTCTGTGCATTACTTATTCCTGACCCCAGCACTCTATGTGCTGCTTACTCTTGACACCAGTACTCTGTGTGTTCCTTACTACTGATTTCTGCACTAGGTGCATTACTTGCCCCTGAACTTTGCGCTCTGTGCGTTACTTACTCCTGACCCCTACAGTCTGGTTATTTAGTCCTGACCTCTGTACTCTGTCCACTGCAAAATTTGAGCAGTGTGTGGCCCCGTTGGCACCCCTCCATTTGACAAAAGTTGATTTTTTTAAAATCAATTTTGTTAAAGGAGTCCATCTGAAAACAGTGACTGCAGCCAATCAGCTATTCAGGCATTCTGACAGCGGCACAACTGTGTATTTACTTGCATAAAAGTTCACTTTAACCTCTGCTTCTAAAGGTCTGTGTGAGTGGGCCAAAGGCTTGTGTCGACAGAATCAGTTTGACAACTGTTTGAGATGGGTCATAGATTATTCAGAATTTATTGACATGTGCATTGGACCTGTAGATACCTCCTTCTGACCTGAATTTGACTTGCTTCAGGCCATTCATTTTATTAGTGAAACATTTTTATCAATGACTTGTAGTATATACATAGGCCATTGAAAATCTGGGGGGAAAAGCAACTACAGCATCTACATCTATGCCCTCCCACTAAGCAGTATTTTGCAGCAGCAGGACTGAAGGAGACTGGGTATTTAGAGAAGGCTGGAGGAGTCACAAGACATCTTAAAGTCAAAGTAATTTTTTGTTTTACTACTAGTTCTTGAAATATAACTTTTTGTTGTTGTTTACAGTAATAGCCACTCTCTGTACAAAAGATCCTCATCATTCGTGTGTACTCGGGGCAACATCATGTCTAAATAGAGCCCCACTGATAAGCAATGATACAGTTCAGGCAAAGGGTTAATAAGCAGAGGAAATATCTTCCCTTCACTCATCATATAAGTCTGATTCCAGCCAAGCATTCATTTAACTCTACATTTCCTCTTCAGTAAGCTTTGCATAAAACTAACCCAAACCCACATGGGCCTCTATAATACCCTCCCAGAATGACAATGAATGATGGCTCGTAGGTGGAAACTGCCTGAAGAAAGCTAAATTGTAACCAGGAAAAAAATTGACATTTCAGATTTTAAATGTTACACAGTTTTTATAAAGCTTCAGTCAATTTATTTTATTTATTCTAATGAAGAGCATTACAACGGCTTTACTGCACTGAAGCAAGAATCGATCACATCATTAATCACACCTCGTGAATAGTCACAAATCAGATTCTAACAGCAAGCACTGAATCAGAAGCAACGAAGCATAAACTCCTTCACAATTTATGATCTCTTCAATTGCATCTTTTCAACCATTAAATTGCAAGATACCATAAATTTTTATCTTCTTCACTTCAGTCACATTATTGATTCTGCCTGGTGAAATATAGAATCGCTGTAAATCTGCACTATTGAATTAATTTTAAGTCCTGACTTCAAATCGGGAAGCCAACATCGTAGTAAGGCTGTTAATTCACACTGAGGAGCAAATGATAGAAACATTAAAATTTAAATGGACAACAGGGACCTAAAAGAGCCATAGCTCTGTCAATTGCAGTCCTCACAACCTTGAAGCTATTTTTCTCAATCTTCCTTGGAATGTAAAATAAACAAGGCCATAAACACAAATGATATGTAAACTACCTAAGAACATGAACTCCTACTTCTTTTAAATATAACTATAGAGCAACCTAAAAAATAGAACAGCAACAAGAAAATCCTAAATTAATTTATTTAAAAACATATTTTAGATGATTTAAAGAGCAATATGCAAAGTGCAATAACCCATATGAAGCAGTTAGTCTTTTTCATTCATTGTTCTGAGTTGAAGTGGATCTAAAATTCTTCCTTATGTATGTAAACCCAAAATAAATTTTTCAGTATGTTTTGCATCATGTCTCAGGCCTTGTTCACACCAAATGCAGAGCAGATCTGCTCAGGTTTCTGCACACGCAGTGCAGTGAGTTGTGCCGCGTTTTTGCCGCGTTTTTGATGCGTTCCGGGCCGTTTTTGGTTAAAAAAAACATGTATTTTAATTTTTTTAGTTTAACATGGGCTTTCAGTGTGTTCCTGGCATTTGTTTTGATTTTTGATGCGTTTGCATGCGTTCCAGAGCAGATCCAGAGCAGGTAAAATAGGGCTTGCTGCAGTTTTTTCACCTGCTCTGGAACTCCACGCTGAGATGTGAACTGAAGCAAAAAATACCATTGAAATACATTGGACGCAGTTTTGATCCGGTCTGCAACTGCTCTGCACCTGCTCCACGCTTGGTGTGAACAAGGCCTTAATGTTTGCTTAAACAAACATTTTTTTGTGAATCTATTGTAAAGTGTCTTACCTGGAGATCCTACCAGTAACACGCTTCCTATTGGAGGTTGACAGCAATAAGCCACTGCCTCACAAGTAGCAGCAGCGCTGTCAGCCTACCATGTGTGCTCTTTAATTTGGAAGTTGGGCTGCCCATCAGCCTAACAGGTATGGAGCCCAACGGCTTACTCAAAAATATTTCAGAGGCACTGGGAGGAATCTCTTGCTATCCTTTACAATAGACCAAAAGTAACCTGAGTATGGAAGTAGCTTATTAGCTTACAGTTAGGCAGCTCAATGACGCTCAGTCTCCAATGGAAAATGCTGTAAGCAACTCAAAGATTGGACAAAAAAGAAGAGCGCCAGACCAAATCAGATTTCAGAGCCCCAAAATATATAATGATTATGTTGATCAACATCCAACATGATTTGGGGGCACACACAACCCCCTTCCCCAGGGCTTGAAATAATAAAGGATAGGAGTTGTTTTCCAAATTGATATCAAGTTGGGAAATGACCCATATCTCATAATAAGATCCAATTTTTTAGTCCATGTTCTGAGTACAATCCTTCATCGTTTCAAGTTTCAATCAGATTTTGGAGTTTCAAGACTTTTTTGGACTCCAAAACCTGACTTGGTTTGCACTCTCCTTTTCTGTCCAATCTCAATGGCTTACAGGGCAGGCTGATAATGTTGCCAATAATTACAGGGCAGTGGCTTAGGGTTGTCAGCTTGCAACAGGAATTGCTGTTGGTGGCAGGATCTCTAGTAAAAAAAAAAAAAAACATATTTGATATAAGAGATCAATAGCAATAACACAGTAGCCCCCTCTGTAATATAGTTTTATTACCTGTTTATCCCATCAGTATTTCTTAAATTTCCACTTCCTGTATATGCCAAGTGGTCCAACACAGAAGAAGTTACAGTTGGGACAAATTTTATTACATTGGTAGGGGTACTTACGAATGTCAGCTTTGATTCTTATGGCCTAACTCCAAAATAAAAATAAACTGTTGCTTTAACTGCTTAGAAAGTGTTAGCTAGAGTTGGGCTTTTATTTTTTTGTCTTTTACTCACCTCCAGTGATGCAACATCTGTGAGCTTTGGGATTTCGGTTATCTTCAATGGCTGTGCTAGGAGGACATAACTTAGGCACATGCGTGAGAGTTCAGTTAATTTATCCTGGCAGATTGCTGAAATTGGACACTGAGCTGATCTTGCACAGTTCAGGGTACATTGTCCAAAAAAATCCAAACAAAAATGTAAGAATTCTTTAATATATATCTAGATATATATATATCTAGATATATATATAGATATATTCAAACCTTCCCACCCCGCAGTATATATTACAAGTTTAGACAGACACCACATTATTTAAATACTGTTTTCTGGGAGCTTGGTGGTAAATACGTTTACATATACAAGGGACACCCCTCATCACCAGGAGATATAGAGAGTAGGGAGCATGCAAAGATGATAGAGTGGAAAGGGCTTAATAACCTTCCATGGATACCTATATGGATTTTAGTACATATTGTAAATATGCTGTATATACAGTACATATGTATATATACACACACACACACACATATAAATACACATATACTGTATGCTGTATATATTTATAACTAGATATATCTAGATAGAAGTATATATCTAGATATATCTAGATATATAGATCTATATATCTAGATATATATATATCTAGATATATATTCTATTTATCACTAATGCCCAAGAGGACCAGGAAATGGGAAAACAGTAATTGTAACTAAAAGCAAAATATGTTTATTGAATGTGAGATGATTTTATATATCAGCATGGAGAGCTGCATGCTGATGTGATTTTTAGTGCAAGGGGGTAAAAGCCTGCTTTAAAATCTGTACGCTTGATTCCCTAGTTTCACTGATGGGCCATAACCATAGCAATAGAGCCCCACCTTCTTTATTAAATTTTTGTGGTGTCATGCTAAAAGGCAGCTGCAGAATAAGAGAAACTCCGTTTTCTGCAATGCTGGAGTGTTGGAGTCTTTAGGTAATATAACAAGCTGTCGAATTCTTCAGCCCACAAGAGACCAGGCATAACGAGAAAATGTCTGTTTTGGGAGCACAGCCTTCAAACTGCTTTTCCTAGTTCTTACGATACAAAGGCATACACACCTGTAAAGCAATATCTGGAATCATATCAAATTCTGTAATTCTTTCTGTCCAAGGAGTAAATTTCTTGATGTCTGGGTCAATAAAGTAGTCAAAGACAGTGCCAGAAGAAGGGAACTTGATGGTTCTCATCTCTTTGTTCCACCATCGGCTAAACTCCAAGCGGTAATCAAGCAGCTGAAAACAGGAAAACATAAGGTGAGATAAATATGAAATCCTACTTATTCATTTCTTATTTTGTTTTACTGTGTTATTTCTCACCTGATCTTGAAAGAGAGCACCACCAAAAGACCAGACACAGGCAAAAACAAAATATATCTCATAGAGCTCTCGCGGTGAATCTGGAGGAGTGTTCTCAGCAGTTAGAAGACAGTCCAGTAAAGAACACAACGTCTACAAAAAGTAAAAATCAATTTGTAAAAATACTTTCAGTAGTGACGTAATGTCTAAATGGTTAGGGGGAACCGACCAGTGATGTGCGGTACCTTTGGTTCCGGGTGAGGCATTCCCCAGCCTCGCCCCAGGACGTCCCGCCCCACCCCCAGGACGTCCCGCCCTGCCCCCGTCCCATGAAGCCCTGCCAACAGCCCGCTGAAGCCCCACCGCCTACCCTGGTCCCCAAGCTAGTGTGAAGGAGGAAGGGAGGAGCCTCCCTTCCCTCACTTGCTCATCACTGCTGAGGCATCGAGATCGATGGCCTCAGTGTTTTTTTTTCTTTTTTTGATTGGACCTCTTGGACCAATGGCTTTTTGCTCACGCCTCTAACACAGAGTAGAGGCTGTGACAGCTCTTGCCCCACTAGTTAGGTTACACAAACAGTGGGGAAACCTGCTGCTGTGTAACCAACCTAACTACCTGTCAAAAGCCGGATGCAGCACTGCCTGTAATTAACAGGCATCGCTCCGTCCATGACAGGTTACATAGCGGGGAGGCTTTCCCTGCTGTGTAACCTGTTAGAAGCCGATCTTAATGGAGAAAAAGCAGTCAGCTTCAGGCTTGAAGCTGACAGTTTTTCCTCCATAATACTAGGTGAGGCTCTGCCTACCCTGCCTCCCCTGACCGCACATCCCTGGAACCCACCAATCCTCTAACTCAAGTCTGTTTTGGGGCCATTGGAAAATTATAAACCAACAAATCTCCCGCCTTGAAAATATATTAAACACATTTAGGCTGGCCGTACACATTACACAGCAATAAGCCACTGCCTCACAAGTAGCAGCAGCGCTGTCAGCCTACCATGTGTGCTCTTTAATTTGGAAGTTGGGCTGCCCATCAGCCTAACAGGTATGGAGCCCAACGGCTTACTCAAAAATATTTCAGAGGCACTGGGAGGAATCTCTTGCTATCCTTTACAATAGACCAAAAGTAACCTGAGTATGGAAGTAGCTTATTAGCTTACAGTTAGGCAGCTCAATGACGCTCAGTCTCCAATGGAAAATGCTGTAAGCAACTCAAAGATTGGACAAAAAAGAAGAGCGCCAGACCAAATCAGATTTCAGAGCCCCAAAATATATAATGATTATGTTGATCAACATCCAACATGATTTGGGGGCACACACAACCCCCTTCCCCAGGGCTTGAAATAATAAAGGATAGGAGTTGTTTTCCAAATTGATATCAAGTTGGGAAATGACCCATATCTCATAATAAGATCCAATTTTTTAGTCCATGTTCTGAGTACAATCCTTCATCGTTTCAAGTTTCAATCATATTTTGGAAAATTATAAACCAACAAATCTCCCGCCTTGAAAATATATTAAACACATTTAGGCTGGCCGTACACATTAGATTTTTTTCGTCCAGTGTGGATGGACGAATCTCCCACTGTGACTATCACTTACAACCCATTAATTGGCTAGCCTTAGCATCTCACCAACAAGATCAATCCTCACAGCTACAGAAGGCACACTGAGGCTGGGTCTGGAGAAGCTAAAAGAGACAGATAACCACCAGTCACTACTTTGTGAACTGATGACTGAAAGATTAGGGCAAACTATCATTCTGCTAGCAGTTTGGTTCTAGGTGTAAGGACCCTTTTATTACAGTAAACATGAGGTGCGCGTGGCTGTTTGCCAATGCCTAAGTAGACTATAAATCTGTAAAAAAGCAACTACTAGCGCTAACTATGGAAAGCATACAATAAATAAGTCACATGATTAACAACATTTGTCATAATGTAAACCTCAACGTAGCTAGTGTGACTCCATCCAAATTCAAGATCTCAATTTTAATTTGAGTGTAGCTTAAGATGACCTACCAGCAGAAATCCCAGATGGCTGGAAGACATTCTCTGCTGTTTGGAACCCCAATGCAATGGAGGAACAAAAGTACCTCCCCGTCCAAGAACAGACTGGCCTTAATCTATGGAAGCAATTAAAATGAGGGGGTAAAAAATTAAAAACCCCAAAATAGACTATTGCCCTAAAAACAGCAATCTGGGATTTCTTCTGACCCTCACAGATATAAAGATTATTACAGGATCCAACCTAAATTTCCTGGGTTGGCAACAATCCTATCATAAGCCTGTAAGTACATGACGTTTTGCATGTCACTGCAGACAATCTCCATTGAATTACCAGTTTGCAGTATGTTATTAAATTCCCCAAGTAACAATCAGTCCAAATGTTGCATTTTTCTGACATTCTAAACACGGAGTGCCAGGATCACATTTTAAAAAAGGAAAAAAAAAAACACGAAACAAAATAAAATGCATTGCTTTTACCTGTACCATGCTGTTTTCTGGGATTGGAGTTATAGTTTTTAAATTACATCGCACTTGCTCCAAGCAGTAAGGAACATACTTATCAAACAATATGGTCAGATTTGCCTTTTCTGACTGAGCCTGACGAGTCTCGATCCAGCTGGTAACGTAGCTAATAAAAAAAGGAATGAAATCAGACACAGAGCACAGCCATAATGTTTGGTGGGATTTGCATTTAATTTAGATGTCCTCAATGTTCTCAAGTAAATAAGAAACAAAATTGCAAGTCCAAAAGTAAAAGAACAGCAAAACCTTTTGTAATGCTGGTGCTACCATGCTGGTAATCCTGAAAAATGTTCTATTAGCATTACAAGATACAGATTTAAATGTTTGTGAATGTTATAGTCTGTTGTTTAAAAAGGGAATGATCACAAAATATATTAGGAGAAGAATTATTTATAGATAACACTCTATTCTTTCTACACATGTACATTGTATAAGCCGGCCTTGGTTATATACTGTGTGTATATATATATATATTTATTGTGTGCGTGCATGTGTGGGTATGTGGGCCACATACACTATATGGCCAAAAGTATGTAGCCATCCCACAAAATTATTGAGTTCAAATGTTTCCAGTGAATAGTACTGTCAATGATACAGTGTACAAAGACTGTTCAAGACAGTTGTGAACTTTCCACCTAGTGGCGAGGGTTTGGGGTAAACCTTTTTTCTGTTCCAGCATGACTGTGCTCCTATGCCAGCTCCATAAAGACACGGTTTGAAAAGTTTAGTGTGGAAGAACTCGAGTGATTGTCACAGAGCTCTAACCTCAACCCCGCTGAACACATTTTGGATGCATTGGAAGACCCCTCAGGGAAACCCTTCTTGTTGGTTAATAAGTCCCAGAGAGGTTAAACTTCCAGACGATATTAAAACACCATTTAATCTGGTTATGTATCCATTTTAAAAAGTATCTGTAAATGTGAATAGTGTAAGGTAGGGATGTTCAGATACCAGTTCAGATACCAGTGCCGATAGTTGGCATTTTCACAAGAAGTAACAGGGGTGCAGCTGAGACCTTGCTCTGGCCCTCCACCACTGTCCTGAAATCATTAGTCTGTATTGTTTTAGAAAAACTGTCACATGACACTAAACAAAAATGTATCAGTACTTGTATCTGTGAGCACTTGGGCAAGTATCAGTTCTTGTACTTAAAAAAATGGTATCGGTGCATCACTATATTTATTTAAAAAAACATAATGCATTAAAACAGATGTACAAATCCCAGGAGCTCCGTGTGCTCCTTACAAATAACAGCTGCCACCTAACTTGTACAATTCTCTTTAGTCTAGTCCTGGAGCTGGAAAAGTATCTGTACTTGTACTTGTTCCGAGTACGATACTTGGTATCTGAACATCCCTAGTGTAAGGTTAGCTGTAAATGTTAAGGATTTCTTTCGTTCAGCCCCACGGGCTGAATGAAAGAGATCAATAGATTATCATGTCCATGGTAAAAAGCGTGTATGGAAAAATCTTCCCTGCCAGCTTTTGTATTCTCACAGCCACTGCTCTCACAGCTGTCAGAATACCCGAACTGTGACCAGGTCTGATGGACTGCAGTCACTGCCCAGCAAAATTTTCCACGTGGCTTTTCAAATTTCAGGCAGGGCCAACTGGCCAAATTAGATCTATGTACGGCTAGTTTAAGTACCTAAAACTATTCTGATACCAACCTCCTGTAATCGCCTTTATAGCAGAACTCAGACTAGAAGAGGGAGAGAGGAGGTCAGCACCAGGAGCCAATCAGACTCTGCTGCGGGTGCTGGCACTGAACATGCTGACAGGAGGAGAGGGCAGAGAGAGCAGAGAGATGACCTCTTTACTGTGTTGCTGCTCCTTCATTGTCCAATCAGCAAGTTGAGGGTTTGTCTCTGTCCTGTTGTGTTGTTGTACTGTGTTGGAGGTCCCAGACCTCCCTGCTTTCTTGCGTGGTGTCTGGATCACAAGCCTGACTGCGAAGAATTACAAATTCTTTGGCCTAATATACTATACTAGTATACTATACCATACTAAACTAATTGATCCCATACTTACGGACTCCAGCCCAGGTCCTGTGTGTTCACATATAGGATCCCAGCTCTAGAAACAGTGGCGGGTGTAGCTGCTCGCAGGTGGCTAATTTCAAACAAAAGCCGCATAGAAGGTGTCAGTGAGATTCGTTCATTACTGGCTAATGTCAAAACCTATAGGCAAAAGAGGAAAACACATGTACCAGATCTCTGATGAGTTTATAAAAGGTAGAAAGTGACAGCCGTTCCATTCAATTAACATAGAATGAGTACATTCCAAGGTTTTAATTTTTACAGGCACGTTGCAGATATAATACTGCAGAATAAGACGATTCCATTAAATCGTAGTTCATTAAATGGTTTCACCAGTTTTACAACCATGCTATGGTGCCCAGTTACACCTAAACACCTAAGTACATGGGAAGGTCTATATCATTATTTTAAATGGTACTGTTTTTACCAAGTCATTCATACTATGCTTCTTTTAAAAGAATCCACTTGCTTCCGGTTTACCTGTGATTTCCCAAAAAGTACATCTTCCAACAAGATGAATATTACAAGATATCAAATGCACCAGACTTGCATATTATATAATCATTTTAATGAACACAGCTGCAAAAGAAATTCCCTCCACATGGTTAAAGTGACACTAAACTCAGGAGGTAAATCTTAAAAATGCATTCAAGTACCTTAACTAGTAACAAAAATGTATCTTATTTGTGTATCACTCAGCTGTAGATCCTCCAATCATCTCTGAATTGGTGCTGACACCGTGAGTGGCGTCACAGGGTGGGTTCGGCGGGGTGCGGCCTGCACGGGGGTGACACCAATGGAGGGGTGACACCAAAATGACTGACAGTAATTTTGGTGTCACTCCCTCTGAAAAGTCAGACACTCAGTCATGGACCGAGAGCCCGACAGTGTCAGGAGAGAGGAGAGGGCCCGGCGGCATACCTCATCCCACCGGGTGAACATCCCCTTCTCTCTCTGCCGGCATCCATCACCAAGCTGGCCGCTGGCAGGCGTCAATAAGGTGGCCGCTCATGCACAATGACGTCATTGCGCACGGGCGTGGCGATGACACGCGCATGCACGATGACGTCACGTCGGGGTGTCACCCGGTCTTCGCTCCGGGTGACACCCGGCCTTGGGATGCCCCTAGACACTATACTTCTGGAGGGTGGCTACTTTTGTTCTCCATGGTCCCTATGTGTGCTGTAAAGTACTCACCACATCAAGCTCTCTCCTGTGATGGACTACATTCTCATGTTTAGTTTACTAATTTGTACTGAGATTGCAGTCCATCACGAGAGTGAGTTGGAGCGGTGACTACTTTACAACACACACAGGGGCGATGGGGAATTAAAAATACTCATTCTCCAGATGGAAGAACAGTGTCAGCTCCAATTCAGAGATGATTTGAGGATCTACAGCTGAGTGATACACAAATTAGATACATTTTTGCTACATTTTTAATAGTTAGGGTCCTTGAATACATAGTCAAGATTTAACGACTGAATTTATTGTCACTGTAATACATACAAACAATACGTGGTTAAAGTAAGAAAATATGCATCAAAAGCACACTGTGATACACTATAAGTGCAGTGCATTGGCGATTGTATACATTAATGTTTTTGGTTCTAAAAGTAAGAAATTAACCATATCCATTAAAAATTGAGCCAAACAAGATGGGGGATGTTTCTAGATATAAACAGAAAATATTTGCATATGTTCTTACAAATAATTTACACTTATAATATTTTAATTATGATAATTATAAAAGTTATATAAAAAGGCCAGTGCACATTACAGCTTTATAATTATAGAGAACGTCCACGCAAGTGCCCTTCCTAGGTACCGATTGTAAAATTTCTTGTATAACAGCACATATAAATTATCAATAATGAGTCTATTAAATATTCTCAATGCGTTTCATGAACTGTAGGTCCACTTCTTCAGGAGAACACTGATGGTTTTAGATTGTAAGCCCTCATGGCAGGGCCCTCCTTACCATCTTGTCTCGAATTGTATTGTGATTGTAATGTCTTCCTTTAATTGTAAAGCCCTCCACAAACTGTTGCTGCTATATAAATCCTGTATAATAATAATGGTAGGTTTATATATGATTATGGTGGAGACTCAGATAAGGGGTCAGAGGTTTCACATTTGTTGGTGGTATAACAGCTTGTTGGACCTCCCATGCCAGCATTCTCACTTGCATTGATGAGGATTATGTGTTTAGTACAATAGATCAATAGTTCCATCATGAATCCCTGACCATGGAGACTTTGGTACACTGCGAACGTCTGACTGAGAAGATTAATCAAAACCCTTTTATGAATACTTGACTCAACTAGATCCTCTGTAAATCCCAAAAATTTATATTTCTGAAGCTGCTGCATGTGAAGCTCTGTGTATGTGGAAATGGCTCTTTGTCCCCTATTTAATATAGAGCATGCTAACACTTTTGTATTCTCTGTGGTTCTCCCCTATCCTTTTCTGGATAACCAATCTTGTTTGGTTCAGCTTTTATGGATATATTACTAGGGATGATGGTACAACCATTGGGCACTTTCATTTAATGTATGTATGTTAATTTTATTTTAAAACGTAAGTATTACTCATATAACATTCCAGATGGCATTTTTTTTTTAAATGTTTGGGTTAACGTAAAAAATGGTTACACTGTTCCTTTCCTTCATTTTTAATATGTGAACTCCAGTTTGTCGCAAACCCATATTATACTTTGGATAATAATTTTAAAGAGATGTAGACTCATGTATCCAGCATGCTTCATTATCTAACAAATATAGTTTGACCAGACAAATGTCAAGGTCAGTTTTAATGTGTGCTAAGTTAAAATGTCTTGAATTCATAGCACAAGAATACTTATTAACATAAACTAATTAAATATGATGATAGATTATGTTTATATAAACAAAAAGCATACCTAATATATACAGAGGTCAAAACCTCAACTGAGATACATCATATATAATACCATCAGTAATAAAGCTTTTTAAGGACACCTCTACCCTTTATTTGTTAGGGTTAAAGTTAAAGGAGAACTATGGCGTCAGGGCTTTTCCCCATAGTTCTCCTTAGGGTAACGGGAGGACACAAACTAGCGTCCTCCCGTCACCCTAAGCTCAGTATACCGCGAGCTACAGCTGTACCCCTCCCCCGTCCGTTCCGCCAGTCAGCGCTGGTGGATCGGAGTGGGGAGGGGCGAATCCATCCCCTCACCTGTCACGGCAGAGAGTCGTGACAGGATCGAGAAGTGAGCGAACACCGGCATGTGTTCGCTCACCTCCCGATCTACTGAGCCGACCTGTGACAGTCTCATTGTCACAAGTCGGCTAGATCTATGAGGTGAGTGAAAAGCACTCACTTCATAGTTCTCCTTTAATGATAGAAAAAGATAAGTGAAATGATACAAAAATAAAAATGATCTTTTATAGAGTAGAGGAAACTAGAACCTCTGTCGCATTTTTATTTCTGTTGGTGTCCTTGTTGCAGATTTTATCTTACTTTCCGTCTGGTGAAAATGTTGTCACCAGGACAGAAAAGGTCAATTTGGGAGGTATAGGCAGTCCAATGCAGTGACGTGCGGTACCTTCGCTTCTTGGTGAGGCATTCCCCAGCCGCGCCCCCAGCATGCATAAGCACCGCCCATATCCTGCCCCCATTCCGACAAAGCCCTGGCTAGTGTTAAGGAGGGAGGGAGGGAGGGAGAGAGGCGCCTCCCTGTCCCTCACTTGCTCGTCACTGCTGAGGCATCGAGATCGATGGCCTCAGTGGGGTTTTTTTTCTGATTGGACAGCTTGGACCAATGGCGCTTTGTCATTGGTCCAAACCATCCACAGCTCACACTTCTAACAAAGAGTAGAGGCTGTGACAGCTCTTGCCTCACTAGTTAGGTTACACAAGCAGTGGGGAAGCCCGCTACTCTGTAACCTAACCACCTGTCAAAAGCCGGATGCAGCGCCGCGTGTAATTAACAGGCAGCGCTCCGTATATGACAGGTTACACAGTGAGGAGGCTTTCCCTGTTGTGTAACCTGTTACAAGCCGATCTGAATGGAGAAAAAGCTGTCAGCTTCAAACTTGAAGCTGGCAACTTTTTCCTCCATAATACTAGATGAGGCTCTGCCTCCCCTGCCTCCCCTGCCTGCACATCCTTGGACTCTGATGGTCAAATGAAGTTGGTAACATGACAGGTTTACAACACTATTAATTGTGAGGCAGTGACTTAGCATTGTCGGCCTGAAACGGGAAGAGCTGTTAATGGCAAGGTTCAGGTAAGAAACTTTGCCACAGATTTATGAAAAGTTATATCAAGATTAGATCAAAGATTATGATTATTGATTAGCGCAGTGCATCTGTTTGATCTAATCTATTTATATTATTAGCACGGCTGCTTTTCATCTTTTATATTCATATTTATCACTTTGAGACAGCTTCCATAGTGCAGAATTTTTTTATATTCATTTATGAAAAATGGTGTTCTTATGAAAACTGTATACAGTTAGACATGATACAAAACACAATGAAAAAAAGATTTTGGAATTGCATACACTTTAAGGCAGGGCAACCTCTGCACTTCAGCTGTGGTAAAAGTACAAACCCCATCATGCCTCTGCCTCTAGGCGTCTTCTAATGTTGCATGGGGCTTGTAGTTCCACAATAGCTGGAGTGCCAAGGTTGCCTAACCCTACTTTATTGTAAAGGGCTAAACTTTTTACTACTTACCGGCTTTACTAATCGTATGCACTTACTGGCACAATAATTTTATCCTCCAAAAAGACACAAACCTTGTTATCATCCATGACAGTATTTAACGATTCAATCCACATGGGATCAATATCTCCATCAAGGACAATCCACTTCGGGCCATCATGAGGCATGATGAACAGTTCCCTCAATGTAAAGGAAAACAGGCCTAGAAATACAAAATGAATATAAAAGAAAATGATTAAAGAAAATAATATGAATTTAAAATATAATTATGTGGAAATCTGACCACTACCAGTCACTTATAATTACCATCTTTCCACTCCCGTGTTGATGGGTGAAGAAAACCAAACAACTCATCTGTAGTCACAGCTTTTGGATTAATGTCATGCCAAATAGGCTTTAACTTCATATTGAAATACGTTCTATGCAAAGTCTTTAGGATCTGTATTAAACACAAATAGTTTGCCATGGCAAACTTCAGGTGGTGAAGAACAAGTATTTATTCCATTTATCAAAAGCCTGTAAAACCAAATGCTAAAAAGAATCTCTTAGGTATCTGTGTCTAATAGGTGAGAAATAGAAGAAAAGGTTAGCAATTACAGCCCCTGCATTTCTCTTAGTACAGGTTTCCTTTAAATAGACAATTTTACCTGCCTGTTTAAGGCAGAGTGACATACCTCCTGGTATCCCCTACACCAGCAAAGTATAATACCCTATCTGAACTCCCTTGTCACCCCCCCACCCCTCCCCGCTCCAGGAGTTTACCCTGTGTAAAGGTATACGTGGTTGGCAGTGGTTACCCAGATGAATGATGTCACTGCACCCCCCACCCCCATCCTCAACCCTGTGTTTGGGCGTAGAGATTAGAAACTAAGGCCCAATCACTCTTACACCGTTCCATTATAACAACAGAGAAAAGGTTCAGATAAAGCACAGAGTCACCAAGGAAGCACAGATAGATGACTATAACATGTTGTGGGAGGGGAATGGGAGACAGGCTATAAGGAGGCACTGTCATTTTATCTTGAATTGGCAAAGTGCCTCTTTTGTCTTTTTAAAGGCTTAGATCAAGAAATACTTCCAAATCTCTATGAAATATAATAACAAGAAAGATATGTGTCAATTTCTCACATTATATAAATGTAACTCTTTGTCTATATTAAATTAAGGCCTAGCCTTACTCATCAAAATTGTCCTGCCGCTTGCCAGGATTACACTACTGGATCATCTGCGTTCTCTTGACTCTTGTAATAAAACACCCACCTCAACTCTTTTTCTTTAGTACATTTTGGCCTATTATTCCTGATTAAAACTGTCCTGCTACTGGCCAGCTTTACACTGCTGTGCCATCTGCACTCTCTTAATTCTTGCAGTAAAAAAAAAACCTGCCTGAACTCTTTTTCTCTATTACATTTTGGCCAATTTCCCCCCATTATGTCCTGTGGTTGACCAATTTTACACTTGTGTATCCTCTGTAATCTTTCAATTCGTAATAAGAACTTGCTAAAAATTGGCCAGCGGTAGGACAGTTTTGTAACTAACAACAGAGCAAGGCCAGGCCACAACAAACAGCTGTCTAATTTATATCTGGTGGTTAAAGCAGGTCTGTTAGCAAATAATGAAAAAGCATTTGTCCTCTCTAAAGCTACCTGAAAAAAAGCCTTTATTTTCAAATTGATAAAAATCAGATTAGGGTGCAGCTATTGGGGTGTGTGTAAACGATTCACGACCAAATATGCACTGCCAGTGTACACTGCTACTAGGACTGTCTGTGAAAATCGTACTGTTCTGTAACACTACCTATAGCCCTAAGGCATCCATCAAACCTGGTATATAAAGAATTTGTGTATTTTCAAAGTTGCTCTCGAAGCTGCATGAAAAGACCCTCTCCCCATTGGATGGTGGTTTTTAAAAATGTTTTTTGCATTGGTACATTTTTCTCAGGAAGTGCCTAGCACCCCAGGCCTCTTATAGAAGTTTACCTATTACTCCTGGTAAGTTCAGGTTCGTTAAATTTCTGACAAGATTTGACGAACCCTTGGTAAACCCAACCCAGGCATATTTAATCATCATTTTCCAGCAACAGCTGCATATCATTTCCCTGGGTGAGTTTCCTGGTGGTGACAACAGTGGAACATGCCTGGTTAATGTGTATCAGCACAGCTGCCTGTAGTCATCATTGGAAGAGCATATGACAGGCTTACAACGCAGAACGTTTGTGAGACATGGGAGAACGTTTTTACCCTATAACAGGAAGTGTCTTAACAAGGACTTAATTGGCAGGCACCAGGTATTAATTTAATGAAAGCTGCAGATTTAAACCTATGAAAACGACTTTTGAAATGATTCTAACATGTAAAGATTATATGAGATTTTAGTGACTGGGTTTGCATATACTTTAAACCAGACACTCTCACTTCAAACTTCAGTGCACTAGCATGGCCAGTCCTAAACGAGTGAGAAGCTGTAAAGAAATGTATTAAAATCTTCGAAATCTACATAGAAAACCTTAGGGGGAATTTTTTGGGTTACCAAAACTCTGTAAAGATTCTGTACCAATTATAATTGTCACCAGAATGTTAACGCAGGCACCTAGCAGTCTGAGTTGCCTAGAGCAGTGCTTCTTAAAGTGTGGGTCGCGACCCCATGTGGGGTCCCGCAAGTTAACAGGGGGGTTGCGATCCGAGTCCCCGGCCAGGACCGCCATCAGGGGCGTATGGCCGGTACTTGTGTGAGGGGCCCAGGCGGCCAAGGAGGTCTGGGCTGGGGGGAGAAGAGGAAAGAGACACTGACCGACGCTGGGGGGGAGAGAAGATGAGACGAGAGAGACACTGACACGCTGGGGGGGGAGAGAGAGAGACACCGACTTAAACTAGGGGAGGCGGGAGACACCGACCGACGTTGGGGTCCCTTAAAAATTTCCTCGGCCAAAAAGGGGTCACGAGTGGAGAAAGTTTAAGAAGGCCTGGCCTAGAGTATCCTGGAAGCTTGAAAACCAGCGTCTCTAATATGCAAATTTCTGCTTTCTACAAGGAAGTCAGTGCTTGGCACTGCTTCTTCCTGTATCTTGCGTTTTATGATTGATCCATGGGCATGGCTCACACTGACCAATTGTGAGGTGGGAGAGGCAAGGTCAAGCACCAAAGCGGGGAACTGGCATTACTCCCAGACAGAGAGGCATGAAGGAATTTGTAGTTTGATCACAGCTGGAGTTGGGCAGTCACCTACCCTTGTACTATTGTTCCTGTTCTCTTTGTGATGTTCCTTTCTTCCTTGTATTTGATTAGTAACTTGTTTTGTATGCTTATAAAATTATTTAAAGCATGAAAAAGACAATAACCTAATTTTTCTTACTCACCGTACTCTTGCCAGTTCCTGCATTTCCCACCACAAAGACTGAGTGCCGCACCTCTAACAGTTCCTCCAATTGAGTGATCTGGGAAGAGGGACATAATAAAATGAGCAACAGCTTTCGTAGAAAATGCCTTTATCTGTCCAAATGTGCTGTCCATCTATGTGACACGTTGTGTACACCACACAAGCATTTTGAAGGAATACCAAACCGAGGAACACCAAATGAAGCATTCTTAGCCCAATACATGCTAAAAGAATACAGTTTTGTAACTGTGATCACTCTCTCCAGGGTGCTGTGCATACAAATGTCCTGCTTGGAACCTGCACCCTGGACCAAGGAGTCACAATGCTAACCACCAATCGTAAGGGCTTATAGGTGTCTTATTTTAGCTGTTGATTTGTTTTTATTCTTTTTTGTTTCTAAAACCAAAAAGGAAACTGCAGTATATTACTATTTGTTTTTGTTTTTTTGCTGGGCTGTCCAGGTAGACATTATCATTATGGGGTCCATTTATCAATGTTTTCTCCTAGGATTCATACATCTCTTTTACATAAGATTTACATTGATATATGGGCTAAATATCTCCCCTTTAATAGATAGGATTATTTGTGAACTAGAGGTTTGGAGTGGGGGTACCTCTTTCGCTCTTTGGGAGAATACACTTGTTTAAAATTATAAGCTTTGCTAGGCTGCTATATCCGCTACAAACTCTCCCATTATTACTGAAACATAAAGACATTAGAGCAGCGGTTCTCAACCTGTGGGTCGCAACTCACTGTTGAGGGGGCCGCAGCATCCACTTCTGCTGCGCTGGGTGAGAGGCTCCTCAGCCTCCTCCTAGCGCAGAGGTGTCAATGTCAGGACATCAGAGGCTGTGAATATAAAATTGCCGCTATACACACTGTCTGGCCGCTGCAGCGACATCTAGTGGCCGGGGAGTGTGTACAGCAGGGCTGTTCTATTCACAGCCGCTGCTGTCCTCCTGCCTCCCATACAATGTGAGCTCTGCAGGAGGCGGGCGTCTAAACAGTGCTGGAGCTGAGAAGGCTGCATGGAGACAGAGCAGGCAAGCAGGTAGCAGGGGCTGGGGAGGGCTTGTATTCTTGTGAGTGTGCTTCTATTTTTAGTCCCAAGTCCAGCGCCTTACTAATTCTGGAGTCCAGCGCTCTGTTGGGGGTCACCACAACATGGCAAATGTTACCAAGGGGTCCCGGCCCTAGAAAGGTTGAGAACCACTGATTTAGAGGGTTATTCACTAGCCGAAGGATCAGTCGTAGCTCCGGCTGATCCTTCGGATAGCTTCGCTTGCTGGAGCCCCTCGGTTAAGTAGAACCGAAGGGCTGCTGTACGGGCTATTCATTATAGCCTGTACAGCTCCCGAAGCTGGCCGGTCTGCTCAGCCGAGCCGAAGGCATTAGCTTTGGCTCGACTGAGCCGAAGTGACACCCGAAGTGACGCCATTGGCCGGCCGAAAGCTTAGAAACTGACAGCTGGGCGAAGCCAGCCATGATCTCACGGCTGGCTCCGCCCAGTTGCAATGACAGATCAACGTCCCCAGGTTACCTATGCAGCCCCTATGTGAATAGGCCGAACGGCCGCAAGTAGCCTGCCGGAGGTTCAGATGTTGGATTGGCTGAGTTGAACTCCTTCTGCACTTCGTGTTTGGCTGAACCGAATCCAGCCGAAGAAAGCCGATGTACAGCTGTAATCTGCAGTACAAGGCTCAAGTGAATAGCCGAACAGCGTTCGGCTCACTTCACTTCGGGTGGTTATTCACTCGGCTGCTTTCGGCAGCTTTGTGAATAACCCTCTTAGTTAGAAAAATGTGTTACCCTCTTGACACCGGCAGGATTCAGCCCTTTAAACCTTTAAATGGCTCTTAATGCCAGAGTCTATTAAAAGGGGCTCCGACAATGTGATTACTGTGATTGGCTGCCACAGTGATCAAGTGATCAGCAGCCCATCCCACTGGCTCCTGATTGTAAACAGTGACTGGGAGCTGTCGATAACAGCTCGTTCACAGTGCTGCGGGCACTGAGTGAGCATGTTGCCCACACAAAACTACACCTTCAGCTGTTTGAACATATGTGTCTTTGGTCCCCTTCCTCTTAAACTTAAGCTCGTTTGTGCGGGGTCCTAATCACCTACAGTTTCTGTATGTCAATGATGCTTGTCAGTGTTTCTTAGTTGCCTTGTCTAAGCGATTGTACAGCGTTACAAAATATGTTGGTGCTATATGAAAAAATTGTAATTGTAATTGGTAGGTCAGTGTTAAAGCCCACCACCATGCTGCCACATATATATGCAGGGATGCTGGGAATCTTTGGTGAAAACATTGCTAAATATACTCCTACGTTTTGTTTCCTTCATGTTTTCTTTTTTTGCATTAAAAATACAATATCTTACAGTTCTTAGACTAATTTGTGTCCTTTTACACTGTGGATATTGGGGAGCAGATAGAACATGTAGAATACATGTTGAATATAGTTTACAACTGGACTGCAGACAGGTATAAAAATATAAATAAATGCAACTCTGTTTTCATTCATGTATTTTTTAATGTAAGCAGAGTGGGTGCCTGAATTTGCAGGCCCTGAGTTCAGACTGGAAGGGAAGAGGCAGCATTAGGAGCCAATCATTTGCTGCAATGCTCAAGAACTAACAAGCAACATGAGAACCAGGAAGCTTTTAATGGGGTTTCTGTACTAATGAAGGGGTTGGCAGGTACCGCACTGTCAACATATTGTTCTGGCTGCTCCCCCCCACATAGTCATAGCCTCCTTCTGAGGCAAAAGTCTCAGGTAGCTTAATTAAGAGTAAGGATGAGCTCAGGTTTGGACTGAACTGGGTCCGAACTCTGAAAGAGCTTCTTCCAAAAATGGAAGGATGCTCGTTTGATGCCACCCAGTCAGCTGCAGGCAGAGAATTCCCCACCCGCAGTTGATGTAAGCATAGAGGTGGGATGCAGTGACATTGTTTACCTTATATGGCTACATGCCTATACTGTATTTGGTGAATAACAGTTACCTAATATTGCTATATGGCCATGTACGGTAAATGATGCAACTTGATGATGCCAAGCATCCAAGCAACATATAGGCCAAAGTCTGAACAGAAAGTCATAAAAAACTGTAATAGCAAAGTCTTCTCTCTGTTCTTATTCCTTCTTGTTATGATCACGTGAAAACTTCCATGGGCACATAACTAATAGCTATCATGAAGCTGTCGCCTCCTCACCCAAATCACAGAAGTTCCAATATTTCCTTTCAGGTGTTGTTATAACATACTGTAGTCTTATTAATTAGTACTATATACCTAACATACATCACAGTTGAAAATTAAAACCCTTTATTCTTTTTTTCACCACCACCCTCCTATGTGTTGTAGATGAAAATTAATACATGAAGCGGAAAGCCACCCCAAAGTTAAATTGCTGTAACAAAAGTGTAATAACAATGTATGTCATGATTCTAATTAGCCATTATTTATACCACCAGCCACATTTCAAATGGAGCCCTGGAATCAAAGGGTGTTCCCCTGAACAAAGTATTATATTAACAATTAATAGAGACAAGGCTGTGGGGACTTTGTTTATTGCCATGGCTATTAAAGGCATTAGCCAGATGCTGAATAGCATGAGCATCAAACAACAGTGATCATTACAGCCTTCAATCACCCCATTTGTACAATACACTAAGCAGAAAGCCATTATTTCCACCTTTAGAATAAAGTTTTCTTCAGGCTGCAGGCGCAGCTCTGCAATGGACTGGCGCACCATCTGTTCCAACTTCACGTCTCTCTTTCTGGGCACTTCCAGGAGGGGGAACAAGTCGTTGATGAGACCCAGGAAGATTGCGACATCATTGGTTACTATCTTGGGAAGATTGAAGTCCCTCAGGGCTCTCATCAAAACCTTAGAAGGAGGAACAACACACCGTAATTAGACTCAATCATAACACACCATAACATAAGGCATAAAATGAACAAACGTTATGAAAGCATCAGGACTCGGACAATTAGGACACATATGGCTTGTTAGTCTCAATCTGTTTCTTCTGCGCAGTAGATCACCTTACAACTATGTTATTTAGAGAACAGAAATCTCTTTAATATAAAGAATATAAGATATAATTATTATCTTACAGTATATATTGTTATAATAAAGTCACAGTACTTAAGACAACTTGTATTAAAGGGGTTACATCAGGTGGAATATACTGAGCTGCAGTTCTGTTAGGAAAGGACAGTCAAAAAAATGCCAGAAGAAGGCAGAGAGTATACAGAAAACTTGGCAGAAGATATTTTGTATTTATTGCATTTACTAAAGTAACCTCTGAGGGGGCCAAAAACTGAATAATCAGAATTAATTAGCCTGAGAATATAACCACATATTTGATTAACTGAACTAAACCTGGTATCTGAAATGCATGCTAACACCACAGGATGCACAACAGTTTGTGCATAATAAATGTGCTGCAATGTAGTTATAACATGCATTGCAGTACCTTTTTTTACTGCTATTTTTTTTACTATAAACTGCATTATGTTGTAATGCAGTACAATGCATGAGAAGCATGCTGCGCAAAAATGCACCATGTCCTTTTTTTTCAATGCACACCAATGCAGTGCATTGGTGTGAACTGAAATCAAAGGACATAAGGCAATTTGCTTTGTTCTTGAGCTGGGACTGCTAGGCCAATGGAACCCAAGGCTGCTGGTGTGAATGGGCACTAAAGTAAAATTTCTTGTTGTCCATGCCAACCAGTGTCCTCGATTTAGTTTCACACCTGGACTGCAAAAATTATGGTTGAAAGCTGACTGGTTGCTGCAGGAATTTTACCTGTAACACACTTCACAACCCTCCCTGTACATCTCACCTCCCTCCATAAAATGTATAGTATACATGTAGCCTGCACTTTCTCCCAGTGTCTGCTGTTTTTGGGTTCTTATGAAGACAATCACGCACATACATACCTGGTCTTCAGGTCTGCTTCTGTCCTCTCGCTTCAGTGATCCGGCCACAACTAAAACAGATTTTATGGCCCTCAGCCCCCAGTCATAATGATCCTGCAAAATGGAGTTAAAACCATCACAATAAAATAAGTAAATATAAAAATTAAGTAATATAAAAAAATTAAATTATAATTTTGCTCAGCAAAAAAAAAGCATTTTATACGCATTAATTGTGTTCTGGTTTGTAAAAAAAAAACAAAAAAACAGAAAAGTTTTGTGTCTAAGCAAAGCAATATTGTACAAATTGGTTCTCATACTCATAATAGTACTGAACTGCTGTAAACAATTATTATCTGGGATCCGATCTCACCCAATTTACAACTCTCATGTTTGTTACTAAAGTAAGTATTAGAACGTTGTATGTTGGTTTTAAAAACACATTATAAACCTAATTGGGAAGCAGCTGACTAGGTAAGTTTGGCCACATCCTTGTTTCAGTTACTGTAAGGTTTTATTGAATCTTGGTAGGGTCTTGTGGGCTTCCATGTTGTTAGTTGATTATCATGGCAGCAGTAGTAGTAGTAGATTAGGCTAACACAGACAGGAAAATTTATCAGAACTGGAGCAGACAGAATCTGGAGCTTTTGCCCATAATAACCAATCAGCTTTTCTATTCAGTCTTCAAGTTAGGCTTTGGAAATTAAAGAGAGAAGCTGATTGGTTGGCATGGGCAGCTGCTGCAGATTTTGTCTGCTCCACTTTAGATAAATTCCATTCAGAGTTAGGTGCTGAAGTCGTGACTGTCCTTCAGCATCCCACAGGGCGTCCAAGAGTTGTCACAGCATCTTGCATATAAAAGCTTAGCCAAGAAACACTAGGACTTTCAGAATTTAAAGAACAATTTCTGTCTGACATTTGACAACTGGACAGGAAATAGAAGCAAATCTTCCTCAAAGAAAACAAAGACAACAAAAAAACCTCACAGAGGTCCTAACTCTTTCAGCCTCTGTACTAAAAACTTAAAGGTGCCTATCTTCTATGCAATCCACTTTTGCTACATAGGGATCTATTCACGAAGCTGCCGAGGGCAGCCGAGTGAATGACCGATCTGAAGTGAAGTGAGCCGAACACTGTTCGGCTATTCACTTCAGGCTGGTACGGCTAATTTCAGCCGTACATCGGCTGAAATCAGCCGTACATCGGTTGCTTCGTGTGGCTTCGGGTCGGCCGAACATGCTGAGCATGTTCGGCCAACCGGAGTGCAGAAGGAGTTCGACTCAGCCGATCCAACATCTGGATCGGCTGAGCCGAACCCCCGGCAGGCTTCTCACTGCTGTTCGGGCTATTCTCTCCCGAACAGCAGTGAGTGATCCGGGCAGAACAGAAAAACAGTGAAAAAAGTTTAAAAAAGTAAATAGCAAACGATTGTGCGGAGCTAGCAGTGACAGCTAGCTCCGCCCACTAGTTTCCTATTGTCCGGCGGCTCTGCTGCTGTAAAAAAAAAACGAAAAAAAAAACCTCCGCTCGTGTCAGAATAAAGAAAAAAAGACACAGCAGTGTTTCTCTCCTTGGCGGCCGGGAGCAGGAGACTCCCGGGTGGCGCCAGGGAGAGTTTGCTGTTTGGAGATCAGTGTCCCTGGTTAGCAGGTAACCAGGGACGCTGATCTCACTGCAAGTGGCCGGAGTCAGCCGTAAGATCATGGCTGGCTCCTCCCAGCTGTCAGAAGCAGGCCGAGCGGCCGGCCAATGGCCGGCCG